TATTGAGCTTCAAGTCAGTGATACTGAACCTCCTTAGGACCCAGAGGAAGAAACAGGTCCAAAGACCAAGGAGCTGATGTACATGTTAGCCACATGAAGGAACTACATAATAGGAGAGTTACAACCTGATGTTCTATCCACATTTTACCTCCTGATCTCTTATTCCACTACCTCCTTTCACCCCAAATAGTGGTCATGCTGGACAAAGACAAGGCTTCTGATTTGTAAGCATTTATGCTCTCAGCCAGATGCCTTTCAGTATAATTAATTATGAGCCGTTCTTCCTATTGCATCCAGGCACAGAGCCTATTTAAATTATTGGCAATGCAGGAGTTAATGCAGTGTTACACAGTGAGGACAATTTTTACTGTAGAGGCAAATGCAGAAAGTAACAGCTAATGATTAATTTATGTAATCCAGGGTTTCATTAATGTCCCCTGCTTTTACCCTTTTTTCCGGTAGGTCCAAAAAGGGAAGGTAGGCAAACATTGCATACAAGAAAGATAATCAGATACTGAAGAATGTAACTCATTTAATCCACTACTGAAAAGGAATCTTCTCCAAGTAGTGGATTTTCAGACTAGAGTTTCATGAGCGCCCACAGATTTTAAGCAATGTGAACTATCAAGAAGTATGTCATATCACCCAAGCTGTACTATCCTGTTTCTTTTTCAAAAAATAATAGTATTGTGCTGGTTTTAGTCAGGAGAGAGTGAACTCTCTTCACAGGGGCTGGTATGAAGCCAGGTTTCTGGATTTACCCTGAGAAAAGTACAGATAAGGTGTCTTTTCAACTGCTGCTGGGGAGTGCTTGCACCAAATTCATGGTCTTTCCCAGCTCGTGATACTGCAGCTGCATTCCCAACTTTCTTGCTACAGGCAGTGGAGGGACACACAGCTCAGACAGCCGACCCAAACTGACCGGGGGAGTATTTCATTCCATAGCACGTCATGCTTGGTACATAGTTGGGGAGTGGGATCGGGAGCCATTACACTTTCACTTTCTTTCACTTGCTAACACTCTAACTCTGTTGTTAGCTGCTTTGCTGGCTCGTTCATGAGGGAGTTGGTGTGTCTGTTAGTTTTCCCGGTCATGCTGTCGCGGATAGGGTTCACTCGGAATCTGCTGCAATCACTCTCAAGCTCCGGCTCTTGGGCTCTGACTCTTCCTTCTCAGGACCTGGCTGTGTATCAGTCGGCGGGTGGTAAGCAATTGTATCCTATTGTAGCATGTTTTATTTTCTATTATTTCAATTACTTGTGTATTTGTGTATATATATATATTATTCATTTAGATTCAATTAGTAAATAGTTCTTATCTCAATTTTACGAGCTTCCTTGTCTTTTTCCTCCTATTCTTCCCCTCTAATAGAGGGGGGACCTGTGAAAGCGGCATCATGATATTTGCTAGCCAGAGTTAAACCACAACAGCATTTACCAGAATGAAGTCTCCATACTCTGCAGAGTCCCGTTTATTTTCGAGGGCATGGTACTCAGATGCTCACTGTTATGAAAGGCAACTTAAGCCTGAAAACAATGTTCTAATTTGATATGATGATTAAAGGGTAAGTAAGATTTTTTTTCTGAAATCATGTCCATAATAAAGTTCCCACTCTGAAGGTCCTACATCTGCATGGTTGAATCTGGATTATCATGGTGGAGAACAAAGAATCATTCCTGAAAACAACCCAGACCAATAATGCTAAATGCCAAGTATGCCTCATCTGGACACACCCAGTTATCTTGAATTAAATCGTGGTTTACTTTATGGAGAGAAGCCACCAATATCTTAATAATGAGAAGTCAGAGTTTATACTTCAATGGCTATTTCCTATCTATTAAAATATGTCCCTACACACATAGTAGAATACCTGGCTCTTACACACATTATACTTCATGATTAAGTCACTTATTTTCCCTTCTCTGCTATAAACTAAAACAATTTCATGTTTCATACTAAGGCAGACAAATTTAAAGTAGAATAATGACTGCATTGTTTATAACTGAACAATATCAAATTGGGAATGTGTATACATTTATACGTAGCAAATTCCATTTCTAATTATATTCCTACTTTGTTGTCTTTAGAGATCTAGATACATAAAAAAATGTATAAGAATGCTACACCAATGTTAATTTAAGCTGCAAAAAGTAAGACTGCCAGATAAAAGGGTGCCATTTCACTTTAATACTGGATGATGCCCATCTCTGCCATATACTGAATGACTTGTATCTTGGGAAGAAAAAAGCATCTTAGATGACACAATTCAAAATTATGATCATGTATATGTAGAAAGTCTCATAATTCATACATTAAATAAAGTGAGGTTTATGGAAAAAATGGAGATCTAAGGTAATACATGCAATGGAAGTAACTTATTGCAACAATAAACCTGTAATGCTTGTCACATATTTTACTTGCATCATCATGTTTTGTGTTCTCCTGTTCCCACCCTTTTTCTCCTAAATATATATATATAAAAATGAAATAGAGAAGGCACACAGCCCCAGAAAACAGTGGATTTGACCATTTGGTTGACAGAAAGAGACTGTGTTCAACACAACATTACAGGAGGAAATAGAGAGTACTTTAAAAAAAATCAGAAATAAATCATGGTGGACAGTGAGCGGAATGAATGGACAAAGCAAAATTCCATGTAACTGCAGCACAGAGAACAGCAAAGGGCAAGATGAAAGAGTGGAATTACATTTTATAACTGGCTGACTGAACTGTTTCAGCTTCAGTTCTGACCCAAAGACCACTCTCTGTATAGCAGATCTCCATTGATTTCAGATGATTTAGAATCAGGTGCTGTTACTGCTGTTCTTTACTTCCAATATATGGATGAACCAAACAAATGCTGTTAAAAATAATGCTTACATCCTCAGCAGTGTCTCTTTGGGCTTAACTGAAGGATGATCACTGAAAGTAGAGCTGTACCTTGCAAATAGAAAACTGCTTAAGTTGTTGATAAGTTTTTTTAAAGACAACCCTGTAAGTCTCTCACTGGCTCCACCCTTCACTATCCTGCATCTTTTATCACAGGACAGGTGGCACTGAAGGTAAGAACTTCTCTAAAGGGGAATCACCGTGTGACGCAGTGTTTACACCAAGCAGGATTATTTGTTTCATAAAATATTGTGCCAAAGGAACTGTATTTCCTCAAATAAACGAGCCATTCCTGTATTCCAGAAGAGTTTTATTCAAGGAATACTGCGTCCCATTCAAACTTCAGTTCACTCACATAGTTTGCACCCGCCACAGCTCCATCTCACTGTCCCAAATCTCTTAATCTGCAACAGGCTTCTTTTCTTTCTTGTGTAGCCTTAGGCTATCAGGTATGAAATCACTTCACAGCAGCGAGCAAGTTTTTTTACCCCACTCCTACGCCCACAGAACTCCATGGACCTCTACTACCCCACTGCTCTGCACTGAAAATCTCACTTCTGCTCAGTTCTCACCGTAACCAACTCATATTGCATGTTTCCAAGTGGCACTTTCAGTCGTTCATCCTCTCCAGCCGTTATTCCCCATTCTCACGCACGTTCAGTTTTCCTTTTATTGCCATGGTAATACCATGCAAGATTGAGTGGGAATAGTCTTCAAGTCCCAAAGACAGGTGCACATAGCACTGAACATGTGAGGAAACTGGTCAAAAAATCACTTACATCACTGTCATGCTGCAGAGTTCACGGTCTTTCACGCTAAGGTGACGGTTCATCTAACCTACCTTAGAGAGAAACAGCGACCTGCAAAGGCCCTAAGTGGGGCCTTAGGTGAGCAGCTCAGATTGAGGTGGCTGACTTTTGGAGGCCTAAAGCTGGGCAGATGAATCCCATTTTAGCTATCCTTGATTTATGGATGACTTCCTACACCTGCTGGTGGAGAATCAAAAGCTAAAATAATACAAATAGCACCAATTTCTCTAGTTGCCTAATTAAATTCCGAGAAATCAGAATGAGCAGAACCTATTATTAAATCAGCAGCTCATTCAATGCCACGTTGTTCTTTACTACCAACAAAAGAAAAAACCATGTTTGAAAATAATTTGCTGCTAGCCAGAAAGCTTATACAGAAGTAGCTAATGAAATCAACAGAGTCATCAGCATTTTATTTCACGTTTGCTCCTGACGAGTTACTGTGCCTCTGTGTATTTCTCCAACTGCCCTGGCAAATCTGACACTTCACCTACTGGGGAAATCACCATCAGCCTGATAATAAAAGGCAAGTCTTTTGTCAGATCTTTGTTGGGCTTCCAGCTCCTACTAGCATTAGCAGGCAAATTTCCACTGAAAGCAAGCTGACTGTAAAAATGAAGCCAGTAAGGGTACATGTAATTTGAAAACCTCACCAGTGAACCCATTCATTCTTAGTTTATCAGAGTGCAAAAATCCTCTGGTCTTGGTGTTATTTTTGCTAAGGTTAATGTGGCCTCCTTATCTATTTTACTTCTTTTTTCCATTTCAGCTCCTGCTCAGATCAGTCTCAGGGATGTCCTAGGATTTTCCCAGACTACATATCGAACTGCTCTGTGACTGCTGCTTAAACTACATTTTCACAGAAATTATTAAATGTCTCCTGTGTTACTTTGCCGACTGTCTCTATGACAACGTTTACAGCATCTCAATATCAGCTCTGTATTGTATTAGCTCTTTATAAGCTTATGACAGTAGGTGTGCAATTTCAGCATATTTACAGCGATTAAAAGTTATGAATTTTAGTGTAACCAAAACCATAGTGAAAATGTCACGTTACTGAGATTATAACTGATGAACCCACAGAGCAGCCTATTCACTATTTAACCCTGAGAAGACGGCTTACATGGTTGCTATCTGCACACAGGTGTCTGTTGAATTTCTGTTGAGGTTGACCTCCGTTGACAGCAAGAAGACAAAGAATTCAGTGTAAAGCTAAGCACCCAGTGAGCTGCAATGCAGTACACAAGAGGAAAAAGACAGGCCACAGCTAGTGTGAGGATCAAGGTTTAGCTATTTTTCTTTCATGGTCTATAGGATCTCATTGGGTCCTGTTCCCAGGTGGGTAAAGACGACAGTTCCACAGACAGCTCTTTCTTGATAGGCCATCCCCAGGCTGTAAAAAACGGAGCCAGGTTCTTATTCACCTGCTGAGAAAACTTCTGTGCCCACAAGTTCATCTTAGAAGTGTTGTCTTTTGGGATGGTGGACATTTTCTGGTAGTCAGAGAAGAGGTGGATGAAAGGGTCCCAACCAAACCCTTCCTGCAACTGATGGAGAAGAATATAGTGTAAAAACAATGAAGTTCTCATTTCACTGGCATTATTCCTGTGTTACAAGCAATAAAATAATCCATAGGTTTCTGCAGTGTCTTTTAGCATGAACGTGAAGTTAGATGAAGGCAACTTTCAGGCTTCAGAGCACAACTTACAGCACCAGAGTACAGAGAAATACAGCTTCCATTACACTGGCCACCCAGAGCAAACCGAGATGAAAGATGCGTTGGGAGCAGCCAGCAATGTCAGCAACGTACTACACATGCTGCTGCTTTGGGCAAAGGAAAGCTTCTTGTGCAGTGAAAAAGCATCAGGGAGGAGACTGACAGAAAACCTAGAAAGGAGCACAGGAGAACAAGGAGTAAACAGAAAACGGGAAGGAGGAGAGATCGTTAGCAAGGCATGCTTTGGCTAGGAATAAAACCAAAAGGAATTCTGATAGAAAAACTGCTGTTGCATGAGTAGTGAGTTTAAAGAGGGATGGGAAACCTACGCTGTTGCTCGAGATGAAGTTAATATGAAGAATTGACTTGGAACAACAGCATGACAGGATGCAGAACACCTATTCCATGTCCACAGTTCCTTACCAAGCCATGAACTACATCCCACTTTCTGATACTAAACCGGCTGACACTAAATTCCATTCCACAAATCCTCCATCACGCTGCAACAGCTAAGCAGGAGACAGCACTTCTGCATTAGACAGAACAAACAGGCAGGTTATCTACCTTCGTTAATCCCCCACTGATATGGAAACTCCTGGTGCTGAAACTAGCTATGGACTTGGCAGAATCTTTTTGTAGAGAAGCTTGGAGAGTCACGAGAAGGCTGCGTGGAAGTTGGGAGACAAAGAGGTCTGGTCCTGTGCCAGGTCAGAAGCAGTAAGCCAACTTACACTGGAGAAGGCTCCACATCATGTTAGGTTATGTCTAAACTGGAGAATTCAGGAGCATCTCCTGGACCCTGAGTTCAAGTATGCATCTCAGACACTTCCTAACTTGTCACAGTATGTCCGCAGTGAAGACTATTTGTTCCCTCCCTGCCCTGCTTTCTATGGGAAGAAAACACAGGTACTTGTGGGGTTGAACTGTGGCATATCCTGGACAAGAGGGGAGCCAGCACCCTGGAGCATGCTGCAAGTGCTTCTTTTTTCTAGTCTAGACAGAGCCTTGGAGGTCTCTGACTTTGCTCCAAAGCACACGGTGAGGAGGTGGAGATAGAACAGTACGGACAGGAGTTTTGTTGTTCCATTTAAATCTGTAAATCTCTTGGTCCAGTTAACTGATTTTCTAATTTTTTTTTTTTTTCTTTCAAGATCTGTGTTACAGGCTTCAGTGACCACTCTGGAGAGGTGAATGGGTATCCAGGCTGAACTTGTGAGAGATGGCATGCTCCATAAGGCAATGGCAAGACCAGAGGATACCCTGCTGCCAGGCAAGTGTAAGAACCAGACAGGAGTTGGACCCGAAGAGGCCTCACTGAAGGTTAAAGACTTCTTGGATTGAAGGAATGTGAGAAGCATCTAAATGGCAGCCAGATGTGGGCTCAAAGGAACTTGGAGACGATTCAAAACCAACCCAACCCAACCCTCAACATCATGGCTGTAATAGGGACAGTATATAGTCACCATTGTAATTGTTCTTTCATGTTGCATTTATCCCAGCAGTCCTGTCAGTAGCCAGACAGAAATCCCAGCCAACAGGGTGTGGGTGAGGCAATGGGGCAGTGGCCAAAATGGTAAGGTTGTGTGGAAAAATCTCCCCTTTTGAAGCTGTTCCACTCTGTATAACTATCTGTTATCGTTGCACCAGAGAAAACAGAGGTTGACTCTTCAGCTTGATGATTCAGGCATTTCTCTGGGATGCGGAAAAAACATCTTTTTCATATAAGATGTGAGATCTCCCAGACAAGGAGGCTGAGGGGCACTCACAACAGTCACTAGTGTATGCCATCATAATGGACATTTGCCTTAAAATCAGGTTGATTGCTCTCTCCTTGAGACTACTAGTTGCTACAAGGATTAAGGGATATCAGAAGGATATTGACCACTTGGAGCGAGTCCAGAGGAGGCCACGAAGATGATCAGAGGGCTGGAGCACCTCTCCTATGATGAAAGGCTGCGAGAACTGGGCTTGTTCAGCCTGGAGAAGAGGAGGCTCCGAGGTGACCTCATTGCAGCTTTCCAGTACCTGAAGGGGCTACAAGGGGACTGGGAGAGGACTTTTTACAAGGGCCTGTAGTAATAGGACAAGGGGTAATGGGTATAAATTGAAAACAGGGAGGTTTAGATTAGATATCAGGAAGAAATTCTTCACAGAGAGGGTGGTGAGGCACTGGGACAGGTTGCCCAGAGATGTTGTGGATGCCCCATCCGTGGAAGTGTCCAAGGCCAGGCTGGATGAGGCTTTGAGCAACCTGGTCTAGGGGAAGGTGTCCCTGCCCATGGCAGGGGGGTTGGAACTAGATGATCTTTAAGGTCCCTTCCAACCCTAACCATTCTATGATTTTATGATTCTAAGGGAAAGGGAACAATCTCTCTCCCATGCTTCCCAAGAGAATGCACTTTAATCTAGGACAGGGTTCATGATTTAAAGTCTTGACCACAGTGAGGGATCCAGTTACACGTGCAGGGGGATAAGCTGAACCCATACCTTTCCCTCTTGATGGACTGCACTGGCTCCACTCAATGCATCGACCAATACGAACACCCTGCTCTTCGCTATGTTTTGTGAAGAGGAGCCTAGCCATGTAACTCGCCAGAATACTGCTTCTAGACACATTATAATGTCAAGGGTTTTTTTTTTGCCAACTAGCCCAATGTCCCACAGGAAATCTGCAGCAGGTTAAAGAGCTGTGTCCAAGGTTGATCATCTTTTTCCATCCCTGCATAACATAATGCAGTTCCTGTTTCTCTCCTAGAGAGAAAGACTACTATATTGCACTGAGCTCTCTCCCTCAGTGGCTAAGCCCAAGTCTGGCAAAGGAAGGATTTTAGGAGACATCAGCATTAGGTACTCTGTTTGTATACCTCTCAGGCGCTTTCTTGACCCAAGATGAACCCAGATTGTAAGCAAACATTTAGAAGGCACGATAGCTACAGTCACCAGGCTACAAACATCCTTCTGACACAGGCTTTGCTGACTACACTAAGAATACACCCGCTTTTCCCAGTTACCTGCAGGTATGTCTCCAGAGCAGTCCACACCTCCCAGTCCTTTAGTTGAGTGCCTTTCTTCAGATATTTCCTTATCCTTTCCTCCCGACATTGCGACCTAAGTGCCTGATGGGCCTGATGCCTGGGAATCCCCAGCACCTTCTCATGAACATAGACAGACCAGAGGTTGCAGGTAGCCTCTGTGGTATGAGGGGGAAACTCCCATGCTTGCTGCTGTTGATTGTGTCCCAGCTCATGGACAGGACCCCAAAGACCAGTAGTTTTCATATGTTTCATGTCTAACATCTCCTTCACCGAATCTAGGTGGCCCATGATGGGGTAGCCAGCATGCATCCAGCCTGCAGGAAAAACAGGTACCAACACACATCGTAAGTGTTCACCCCTGTGCCTCTTGGACATAAACGACTATTTCTTTTTTAATTTTTCTAGTGCCTTTCCTCCATCTCATAAACCACACTGTGTCACCATGAATGATTTTTTTTCCCTTTGTGAAGTAAGGCAATACTACAAGTTTTACCCTAACAAATAGTCAAATAAGCAGTGTAAAGGTAGTACTGGACTATCAGTACAGTTTCATCTGCTTTGCCTTTCTATACAAAAGCATACACTCACAGCTAAACTGAGGTTCAGACTTCAGGAGGAGGAAAAAAGCCTGACCACTGCCCAGAATACACCTGAACTCTAACAAACAGCACAGTTGACACCAACCCAACCACGCAATAATGTGACTCAGCACCCTGGCAGAGCTTGAGTGTTCTTATTTAGAGTGTCTGTGCTCCAGTAGTCAGCAGTGTAGATGAGACACATGGAAGTCAGCTTGTCATGCTTAAGGGCTGTAAAACTTGTCAGGCTTAAGCCTGTTCTGAACCTCACAGATTAGCTATTCTATAAACCATTTCCCAGCATCATGCTAGGCAAGGACCTTTCACTGCAAAGGATTTTTCTTAGGTGTCCTTGGTGTCTTCATCCCTAATTTGTTCTTGAAGATTCCCAAAACTTTGTACAAAAGTCACCTCCCCGAACTCAAACACCTATTGTAGCAGGGGATAAGCAGCCCTTTACACTCACTACACAGGGAGCCTACACAGCTAGCTTTGACTGAACACTAAGCTTGTACACTACCCAAGCTGGAGAACATGAATGGCAACACTCTTCCTGCAGGAACTATCTTGAGCTCTCTCATTAAAAAGAGAAATGCATGCATCTAGCAGCCACTGGCACTCAGAAAGTTCAGGTCCAGAAACGTGAGTAAAACTATTCAGTCCACCCTAAACAAAAGGGAATTTTATGTCTGCAGGCTGATCTTTTTAACTGGCATTTACTCAGAATAGTAGAATTTAACATTCGCAAGATGTGTGCAACAAATTCTTTCCGTGTGGCTCTGCAAAGGGCTAGGACATCAGGGTTCATGCCAGGCCCATGTCTCATTGTGGGATGATGAATTTAACCAGTCTATTTTGAAAAACAACTGAACAAAACTTGTATTGCAAAGTTCCACATTTACCATGTAATTTGACTGTAGATAAAATGCATTTGGTTCACAACTGGAAAACGTGGGGGGTGGGGGCATCAGCTGCAAAACTACACACTTACCATCTCTGACAGTGACACATACCAATTCTACTTTTCCACTGCCATCATCTCAGGCACGCATCTTTTCAGGCTAAGCTTTTCCCACAATAACCTTTGTGGAGCTATTCTCCAGCAGGTCGGTTGTTAAACACACGGGTTTAACAATTGTCACTGAATGCATGAGAACAGTCCTGTGGCTGAGGCAGGATAAAAACAGAAATCAGGTCGGTCTCCCACCTGTACTGACTCTGCAGTGCATTCAGGAGGGAGAATAAGTAACATCTGAGTCAAAACCACTGCAGTGAGCAGCTCTGCTTCTTAACACACCAGGGCAGAACAGCAGCCTCAGCTGCTGTTGTAACACCCGTTTTAAGAGCAAGGAGGCATTTGAAAGGGCCAATACGTTTTACTAAGCCCTGCCTTACCAAGTTTCCATCCCGACCGAGTAGCTCACCATTACGCAAAGGTCGCATTCATTTAACATCCTACATATGTTCCCAGTCTGGTTTTAGCAAAATAACCTTGAAGGAAGAGACACTGCTGCTAGGGGCCACTTGTCCCTTAGCCCTTGAGAAGGCCATATGGCAATGTACCTACCACATGAGATCTGGACATCTGTTACAATCCTCTCTGGCCTTGGGAATTTTGTTGGCCTTGCTGCCAATTCACTTATTGCCACCATGATCTCATTCCACAGGGTCAGCAGTGGCTGGGGGTTCTCTATGTGGCGGATGCTATCAGATGGCACTGTCAGGATGAGATTCTCAACAGCCAGTTCCGCCCAGGGAGCAGGGTAGTGCCGGATACAGGCCTTCCACTGTTCTTCACAGGTCTCCCCTACATCAACGACACAGAAAAGCAGTTAAGCACAGCCGTGACTTTTGAGCACATTCCCAGAGGTCGAGCTGAAGAAAGATAGCACAGTTGTGCAATTATCCTGGAAAACAGTATAGTTGGTAGCTGTGACTTGAGGTGGTGGCTGTCAACTAGTAAATCCTTATCTTGTGCTTGGGAAGTCTCCTCAGGCTCTTTAACGGGTAGGAGACAGACAGAAAAGGACTGGCATATACCAGGGTAATAGCATAGCACCAACAGATCCCCATTTTCCATCTGAGAACAAGAAGCACCAGGTTTCTCCAGTGGCTCTCGATGATGTAATTTCTTCTTGTCCAGCAGAGATTTTCTGTTTCATATAACAACCCTGCTTTTGTTTAATTTGACAGAAGAGCAAGAAGAAATTGCGCACAGGAAGAGGAAAGAAAGCGATGGAAAACACGGGATGAGATTTATTTTAGGGACTGGAGGTGGCCATATGGGGGCACAATCAAGCAGGCAGAACACAAGTCAAGCTCCATCGTGGCAGAGGTCGGACTGTCCCCCTCACTCAGAAATGACAACTCCAACCTCCAAGAAATGTTGGTTTGGACAAACAATGCCCATTTTGTGACAGCTCCTCCACCCACCACCTGCGACGTAGCAGGCACAAAGTGACTGACTTACCCAGAATCCCAGAGGTCAGCAAAGCAAGGAAACTAAATTTGGGTATTCCTAAACCAGGGCATTTCTAAGAAGTACCTAAGCACAGGTTCCTTCCAGTGACAGGAATAGCAGCATCTGTGAGCAGCAGTAAGAAGAGAGGCACCAAGGTAAACATACCTACCAAGCTTGAAGAAAGGAGCTCTGACTGCCCCTTCTACTGTGATGTCCACTTTCCCCAGGATGCTCTTTGGTGGTACTACGATGTAAATGAGGCCACCCCAGAGGCAGGAAATAGATTGTTTCTGGCAGGCAATATCACAGGTGCGTGTCACCACTGGGGCCCGTTTCAGCTCAGTGGCATGAGAGAGGTCATCTGTGTGACACCCAATCTGCACCTGGCAAACAGAAGGGTAGAACAGCTGTCAAAGGGCTCCAAGTGTGACCTGGCAGACCAACTGCAACCCCCTGGGCCATCTGCCTCAGCACTGTCCTTGCAGGGCACGCATGCAGAGTCAGCCTTCTGACTCCAGTCTAGTTCAAGTTTTCAGCCTGTGGTGACCAGAAGCAGCAAATACAACGAAAACAGTTGAAGTTCAATTCTATCCCTGTCTCAGACAGCCTTACTTCTGTACTCCCATTATTCCTGGGTGAACTACAACCACCACCAGTTCAGGGTACCTGCAGTGACTTCTTTCACTGCAATGTACTTGCATTGATCATTCCTTCACCCTTCACCAGCATCAAAGTCACATCCTGTAACATAGGAGTTGGAGAGATGTGATCACTGCTGGCTTCTTTTATTGTGCCTCTTCCATGGAAGAGATGTGATCACTTCTTTTATTGTGCCTCTTCCATGGTCCTCACAGAGTAAAACAGACAGCATGTGGCTGCAGGATCAGACAGAACACCTGAGTTAACTTGGCATTTCAGCTACAGGGAGCTCACTGCAAAAAATACCTAAGCAGGTAAGCATTGATCTGCTTCGCACTTTGTAGAGACCAGGATCCCAAGTGACTAGTTTGTATCTGATCCGAATACATCTACATGAATAATAGCAATGGAACTGCAAAAGTACCTTATGAGAGATCTGGACAAACGGACCTATGTTTGGTGCATAGAAGGGCCCAAGTACTTATCTTGGGCCTGAAAATCACCTTGATCAGTTCTCTTTGCATGATAAAAAATCCCAAATACAGCTGCCTTTAGGCAGCAGCCACACTCAGTTATCCCACCAGCACACAGAAATAAGAGGAATGCAACAGAATGGATTGGGAAACAAGCTGAAAAATTATATCAGAAGGGTATTGACCACTTGGAGCGAGTCCAGAGGAGGCTACGAAGATGATCAGAGGGCTGGAGCACCTCTCCTATGATGAAAGGCTGTGAGAACTGGGCTTGTTCAGCCTGGAGAAGAGGAGGCTCCGAGGAGACCTCATTGCAGCTTTCCAGTATCTGAAGGGGCTACAAGGGTGCTGGGAGAGGACTTTTTACAAGGGCCTGTAGTGACAGGACAAGGGGTAACGGGTACAAATTGAAAACAGGGAGGTTTAGATTAGATATCAGGAAGAAATTCTTCCCGGAGAGGGTGGGGAGGCACTAGGACAGGTTGCCCAGAGAAGCTGTGGATGCCTCATCCCTGGATGTCTTCAAGGCCAGGTTGGATGAACCCCCCCATGGCAGGGGGGTTGGAACTAGATGATCTTTAAGGTCCCTTCCAACCCTAACCATTCTATGATTCTATGATTATGACAATGCAGTGGAAATGCCTCAGGGTGGCAGCAGCAGGAAAGGACTGAAAAGGCAGCAAAACCAATGAGAAAAACCTTCTGCCTGCTATTTTTGCCTTCTCACCTGACAAATAGTTCGGTGTAAACAGAAGTCAAACCAGAGACAGCTTACCTTCAGACCAGAACCCACCAGCAGGCAAGGGAATGTTATAACTGCCGTGTGCCCTTCAGGCAGGTAGAGTCCCGTACTCCTCCAGGCTGTCTTACCTATACAGTAAGAGAACACAATCAAGCACTTCTTCAGCCTCACATTACACCTTCTGGAGATTTCAAGCTGCAACAGAAGAATCTTCTGTCCCTTCCTTTTCCCTTGCTCTACACTCACAGAACTGTCTCACGTTTTACCCAACATGTCAGAAATACAGTTTAAAGCATAAGGTAGCAGCATGGGTAAGATCATCACACCATTAGCAAGTAAGCCCACCTGAATCTGAACCTCTGGAAATGCCAAGCTTTGATGTGTTTACTAGTATCTTTTAAAAATAAGAAGAAAAAAAAAGAAACCAAAGCCCCAACACTTCCTCCACTCAGATTGTCTTATACCCTCATAAGAAGTGGTGGTATTAACCATGGTTAAAGTTGTAATGGTCAAAAAACATTACCTAAATAACAACTGACAGGAATTCCATTTCTAGCTGACTGAGGTCATGAGAAAGCCTAAAAGGACTCTTCTATGCTAGATGTAACTGTAAGATGGGTACCCCACCATACCACTACAATTTAGCATGTTTCTAGACAGTCTTCCCATGGAAAAGCAAGTCTTCTCTGCCCAGATCTCTGTGCACATTTGTGGTACGCAGTGCAAAACTGATCCATCTCTACAGTACTGATAAAGCAAAATCCAATCCCTAGTTCTGACATAAAGTTCACTCAAGTATATTTCAACACAAACAGCAAAAGTCCTAAAAAGAGCTGAACTGTCATAATGCACCCAACTTCCAACCTTTTTTGTCCTTCAAGAAAGCAGGACCAGTTTTGTCAAGCAAAACCTAATCCAAAGAAAATGCAGATTAGACCGTATCACAATTTTTCATCAGTTCAATATCAGTTTCACTCAATGTGCATGAAAAGCATTTTTGAAATTGTGTTCAGGGTTCACTAGCATTTCTTTCTTTTTTTTGTTTATGTGAAACGACACAAATTCTGAATATTTCTGGTCAAACAAAATACTGTGTTTGATCTAATGCATTCAGTTCAGCCAACCTTAACAATTTTTCCCTTTTGTCCAGACTCATTAGTTTTAAAACCAGCGAGCTACGACTTTTTTCTCTGCATATCCTCTGCATTCAGACTTAGCCCCTCCAGAACAGTCTAATTTATTTCATTAGAGCACTTTGGAAAACAACTCCTCTCAATAATATTCTAATACAAAAAAAATCAAGGTGAATCTGTGGAGGGGATAATACCTTAGCAGTGGAATTTAACCTCGGGTTGGAACCTATTAGCTGTGAGCAGGAATCTCAGCAAGGCTGTATAAATAAGCTTGGACAAATCATTCAGGGTGTAATTACCAAATACCTTGGCTTGGGTGGTGTTAAGCCAAGAGGTTCCCACCATGCTTCCAGCCTCTTGTTGTCACCCCCAAAACCAGACCTTCATTCCACCAACTGCGCTGACACAACAAGTTGTGGAATGGTGCTGTAACTCAGGCTGAACTTGTCTAGATAAAAAGTAAACTTTTTATTCCTAACTCCTATCTAGAATGGCCCCCTCAGATGGCTGTATCAGCACCACTATGGCAACAACAACCTGCAGTGTAGAGCCCGGGGTTTCTCAAGGAAGCTTGCTTGTGAAAGCCACCGTGCTGTGCAAGCACCCTGAGGTGCCTCTGCGAGGCGGTTCTTCTCCCCCACGTGCCTGCACACCAACAGCGAGGAAGCAGGACTTTCATAAGGTGTTTCAGAGAGCTGAAACCAGGGCTGGCCACAAAAGGAGCCTACGCAGAGGCCAGCCTCCTCACAAGCCCACGGTGAAATTGTGCTTCTGTCCCCATGTCGAAACACACGCAGACACGTGCACACTGAGGATGGGTGCCTCTCAAAAGGGAGATACGCTCCTCACCTGGGTTTGTACCATTAATTTCCACAGTGATGGGGGGGCCACAGACCCCAGCAGCAGATTTCTGCACGAGGACTGCGCTGTCCGTCATGGTGAGGGACAGCTCGGTTGCCATGCAGAGAAGGACTGCCTCTTTGGAGTTGCTCTTGACAGGGCGGTACCGGCTGACGCGTGGGATCCCACTTCTCTGAAGGACTTTGGTCAGGATGCGGTGAAGCGAGGCATACGCAGGGCAGTCATGGGCTGGAATGTGCAGAAAGGCAGCACAGTCTTGTGCTAGCCTTTGCAACCAGTCTTTCAAGGGGGCTTTGAGCTCCTCGTGCCTGCCCACGTGCCCGTTGAAAAGAGCGAGCGCCTTGCGGAAGTGGTAGTGCTCCCCCGACCCCACGGCCGGCTGCTTGGCAGCCTGGATGCTCTGCCCCAGGATGCTCAGCCCAAAGCGATTCAGGATCCTGTTGCCAGGATATTTTGCCACAGCAGCTTCGCCCTTGTTCTGGGAAGCCCAGTACCAGGCCTGGCCTCCAATCAGTAGGCCACCTCCCTCCACCACGAAAGCGTGAACCCTCTCCGCCTCTCTGTCGCTGTAAGAAGAGCAGCAGTACACGCTGATGTCGCCTGTCAGCGGTGACAACTGACACTTCACCTCTTCCTGAGAGAGGAGGCTAAGGAGTTTCTTCAGGCTGCCATCCACACCCACCAGCCCCTTCCTCCCAGCATCCAGCCAGCAGACAGCGTTGAGCAGGAATCTGGCCAGCTTTGGGGAGAACAGCTGGCTCTCGTGGGTTGCCACCACAACGCGGCCTCGGCCGTAGTGCGCTGCAGCTAAGAGGCAGCGGTGTGAGCTGTCCAGGCAGAGCGGGAAGGAGAGGACACCATGCACGAGCAAGATGGAGGGTATGCCACCTGTCACCAAATCCAGCTCCGACACACCACGCAGGAGAAACTCAGTATCGAGGCTGAGCTTGGCCTGGTGCCTGCAAAACCAAGAGACATCCAGGTTAGCCCTCACCCCAGAAATCTTTTCCACAAAAGGCCACCTTGTCCATCCCTGCCTCTTTTTCCTTCTTCATCCTAGTAAGTCATATTGCCAATCCTTCTATTAAAAAAAAAAAAAATCCATCAATACCTCATTTTTCTCCTTTTAGAGCCTCAGTTTTTGCAGCCAAACCAATCTGTAACAACTTCAGGACTCTCTTAAAAAACAGGAGAGAAAGAAGATGTCAAAAGAAATTTCTAGACCTCTGCCTTTGAAGAGCAGCTTGAAAATCTAAATACACTGCAGAAACTCAAGAATCAGAAGACCTTTCATATGTTGTAAACTGCAGATTTGAACTGCAAATGATGTGGGAATTGGCACATCTCCTAAAACAAACTTTCTTCATTTACCCCACTCTAGGCATTATCTAGGCAAGCCCAGAAGATTCCTCTGTGCCTTCACTCAGCCTCTGCCACTGTTGAGAACTGAAGAAAGGACAGCCAGGCCAGATGCACTAGATGGACAGGCAGACACACTACTAGACAAATAATGAGTGATTAGAAGTTGAATCAGAGCCCTAACACATAGTCCTCACATTACCACTAGTTGGTCTTCACAATATAAAGACGTTATACCATGCAAGGCCCTCTTATCTCTGCTATTTCCATATAATTCCTATATGTCACTGTGGAGAAAGACATACTAAATAATTACTCTCATTTGCTTTATTGACACTTCCTCCTGGTTCTGCCAAACAGATTTTCTTCCAAGACTTGGAAAGAATATGATGTTTCATGGCCACTGCAGCCAACTCAGTAAGAATAAATGATGCTGCCCTTCTGCAGGTGCATAGGACAGGGATTGAATCTGCAGCTCTCCTTTGGTTATTACTTTATTGAGACCCTTCGTCACACAGAATGTGTGCCCAGGCAGACAGCACAGCACCTGCCTTTGACTGCAGTCTGATTCTCTGCGGGTTAAGCAAAGGCCAGCGTGGAGACCCGGATACACAGTGCTGTTATGTGGCAATAAAATTAGGTATCTAAATTTCTCTGTGGCTCTAAATCTAATCAAAACCACCACAAAAGCACCCTAAACAAGGTGTAATTCAATATTAGTTAGCATTTAAAATCTTGGTAATTGCTACATAATTTTGCTCTGCTGAATTCTACACCTCTCTCCCTGTTCCATGCACTGTGTGTGGTAGAAGGCACATACCTGTGCACTGCAAGTGGGAACAAGAATCAATCAGCAAATTAATTAACTTCATTTGTTAGCTCTGGCCTAAGCACTTTGCTGAATTCAACAGCAGAGCCTTCTACCCCAGCCCACCCCCTCAGCTCATGGCCAGCCCCTGGGCTTCCCCTGCTGAAAATGAATTTCTGCAAATAACAGGCTAAACAGGTTTAGCAGCTGCCAGCCAGAGCCTGCCCCAGAGGGCTGGCCTGGTTATCCAACTCCAACCTGGTTTTGAACTATGGGAAAGTTGCCCTGAAAGTACACTGGGGAGAGGAAAAGGAGTTACTGCTCCCATCCCTGTATTGTATTTAGAGTAGGCACACTACTCTGAAAGGTGGCTCCCCTCATTTCCTTCCCCTTGAATGAATTCCTCGTGCCTGGCCCAGCTGCCCTGGAAGCAGTCCAAGACATCCTTCTTTCCAATTGCAAGCAGCAGCAAGGTCCTCCTTAAATTTCAAGGTATCAGTTGCATCCCATCCTGGCTATTAAAGAACCAGCATTCGCTACCATCCTGATCTCAAGAATCTTCCATAAACACCTCACCTGAATAGCCTGACCAGCTGTTTAAAGAGAGAGCAGTTCAGATACTCACGGGACAATTAAGGGGATCTTGGCAATTTTCTTGGCAACTTTGAAGATGCCTTTCTCCACGGTGTTTCCCGTGAAGTACACTCCAGCCACGCTGGTCACTTGGTTCCCGGGGAATTCAAAGAGCACCTTCTCCTTGCCGTGTTGACTAGCCCAGTGCCAGGCCTGGCCACCAACGAGCAGCCCTCCACCCTCCTTTACAAAGCGAACCAGGTCTTTCGCCTGCGTGCTGTCATAGGCATCTACACAGTACACCCCCAGGGAGGGGCTGAGCTCTGCCCCAGCCTCTACTTTGGTGCCAGCCCTGAGCAACAGCTGGGACAGGGAATCCAAACGAGGATGTACCCCAACCAGGGCCTCTGGAGAAGGCTTGAGCCACTTCACAGCATTTCTGAGGAACTGGGAAAACTTGGAGTCCTTCAAGATTCCTTCATGGGAAACAACCACCATTCGGCCCTTCCCATACTGTGAAACAGCGATCAGAACCTGCTTCTTGGAGCTCACAAGCACAGGGAAGGCATCCTCTCCAACAAGTAGCAGCTCACAAGGAACGAAACCGCCAGTGAAGTCCCATGGCCCAACACCATCCACTAGTAGCTCATAGGTGGCAGAGGATTTCATCTTCAGGTCACTCCTGTCTGGTGGAGAGAAGACCAACATTCACTACAGCACGGCTGAGTAACAAAGAACAGCTGTAACAACCCTGTGGGGTCATTGCTGTCTTGTCTAGCAGGAACCCCAGACTAACGAGACTCATTTACTGGGAGCAGCTTTGTGGACACAACTTTCTCCGGGATTTGTGATTTTTTTTGTTTGCTTGTTTGGCTTTGTTACCACACTATTTACCATTTAAACAGAAATGACAAGTATATCAAGATGATGGAGGAAAAGAAAGTGACTGTTTCAACAAATTCTACTATGCATCATGGAAGAGAACAGCAAAATAAAGGCATTTGCTTTTTTATTACAACTAATTTGGAGAGGGTGGGGACCAGAGGGTCCAGGAAGTCTACTAGGAACTTGACTGGTAGAGGTGGTTGAATGGAAATAGACAGAAAATTAAAAAACCTTACCAGCACAACACATAATTCAAGCATGCAGTTCACATTTTAGCTCCTAACTGGATACATTCAGAGCTACACACATTTGCTGCAAGATGGTATTCCAAAGTTGTACTTTCTACCTCCATTTAGGCATGACAAGCCCGTGCTTAGTATTAGGAGGTGCTGAGAGGGGGAGGAGAGTTACCAGAAATTTTGGGGACAACCAGCTCCCCTATACTTTCTAACTCCATTTAGGCATGACAAGCCCTTGTCAGCCTTGTCAGCCCTATTAGGAGGTGCTGAGAGGGGGAGGAGAGTTACCAGAAATTTTGGGGACAACCAGCTCCCCTAGAATAACTGTCAGTTTGAGTCCCGGTACCTAGGAGAGCAGGTCTGGGCACAGGAGATTCATGCCCTAATTCCCTGATCTGATCTTCCGTGTTACCTCAAGGAAATAATTTCCCTTTTCTGTAGCTTTGTTTCAGCTGTTTTCCCATCTACAAAGTAAGGAGAGCGGTACTGACCTTGACTGCCAAGCCTTTTGAGGTCTATGGGTGGCACATGCTATATTTAGGCTCCCTCAGGTTGAAAGGCTGGTTTAGCTCTCCAGAAAAATTATCTTCTGCTGAGCTGGGGCTGCTCTGGCTGTGCAAACAGGAAGGTTTTGAGTCCCACCCAGTTCCTGTCATTCGGGATTCACTAGGCTGACTTGGAGCACACCCACTGCTCTGGGGCGGGCTTGGCCATTTCCCCGGCAGCATCCCATGCCAACATTGGAGTGGTGTTCCCTGGCCTTCATATTTGCCTACCCTGAAAGCAAATCCTCGGCATGTAAACACAGGAAAACGGAGAAAACCTGGAGAAGCAGCATCCTTGATCTGGATTTGTCACAAGCCCCAGGGTGCTCAGAAACAGCAACCTCATCAAGAATGACAGTATCGTTCCCATCGGTTCTCCTCTGGACATGCCTGAAAGCTCCTGTTTTCCACCCAGATTCTCAGGAAACTCCACCGTTGTTTTACATAAGATCTATGAGTCAAAGCTGCTGATTAACACAGGATAAAAACCACATTGCCCAGTAACTTCGTGCTTGTTCGTTGGCTTAGTCTGAATTCCAGCTGTGTTTCCCTGGGTTTGAATAAGCCATACATTTAAAGGCAAATATGAGTTTTAAGTGGTTTAGGATGTTTTAACAGGAATCATGCCACAAAGCAGTAACATAGCTTTGGAAAATACACTTTCTTTTTCTTTTTCTTTTTTTTTTTCTGGTGGCTTCTGTGGATTTGATACTAATGTACCTATACTGACACTCTGACCGTGGTGCATGGGAGAGGAAAATCAAACGGATAGTTTTAGCAACTTGTGTTCTACCTGAGGTCTACTCTACAGGTCTAGGTTTGAGGTAAATCCAGTAAAAAACAACGCTTCCTTCTTAGCCATCACCCTTCTTATCACAGGATTTGAAAGCTAACATCCTAGACTCTGAACTCATAAAAGGATAGGTGCTCCCTGGCAGTTATTGAGAACAAGGTGTGGCTGTCTTAGATTTTAACTCTCTCTTAACTGAATGCAACTTTCACCATGTAACAGAATTCCTAATTTCTGTGTCATCACGATTTCTCCATTTCCATTGTATTAACCATTTCAGTGTGGAGAGAAGGAAGTAAGTTTACTATTCAGACCTAAAGCAGACACAACTTCAGGTGAACTCTTTCTAGAGAGAGAAGGGAGAAGAGACAGCAGGGATAGAGAACACCCATGTCTCACAAGAATTCCAGGAAGCTGCACACTGTATCTCTGCCACGTCAGTTAGGAGGAAACAACTACTAGATGTCGGCACACACAAAGGGAAAGGGAAGATCGGCTCCCAGCTGCCTCCCCTGTAGTGCAAATTCTCCATTAGAGTGTCTCGAACAAGTTTGATTCCTTGCCTTCCTTCCTGCCCCGTCTACCTCACCTCCAGCCACTTCCCATTCCCCGCAGAGCTGAGCATATTGAGAGTAGGTATTAAAGCATACATTTATAAATCCTGCCAGATGACCAGTTCTCGCCTAGCCTTTCTTCTGTCTCTGGAAAAGGGACAAAAATGTGATGGGAAGGTATTGGGGCTTCATTAAATGCAGACTTATGATTCCAACATCTGCTGTCCAGAAGCCATCACACCCAGGCAAAAGGGATGTGGTACAAGGGAAGGAATACCTCTTGGTCCACTTAGGAAGAATATCTCTGCAAGAAAAATGACCTGGGTGTGCTCTAAGGGTGAATAAGGGAACAGATTTTGTGTGCCAAGTGCTCGGTCACTTTGGGGTGAGTCTTTAAGGTCCCTGTAAAGCCTGTGAGGATCTCCTTGAGTAAAAAGTATGGAATTGTGCAGTATCTGAGAGGAACAGGATAAAAGGCACAGGACAGTCACTGTGGTAGATCACTTGTTAAGAACTAAGAGAGTGGGAGAGCCACAATTCCTAAGGATTTGGCTGCTCTCCCTAAGCAGGGGGGACTCTTAAGCTTTCCAGTCTTTCCTCTCTTTCAGATGTACAGTCTAGCTGTTTGCACAGTAACCAAGCACCAATTATGCTTCAAAGTCTGTAGACAGTAAAGAATCAGTGGGCTCTTGCTTTTTAACGTGTTTATCAACAAACTGAGCAAAGAGAGGAATGCTGACATTTGGCATTTGCTGAAGAGACAAATGTACTTAGATATTCATTATGCCTGTTAATCATCAACAAGGTTTTAGATTGCAAGAGGGTAGATTTAGATTAATCTTTTATGATGAGGGTAGTGATACGCTGGAATGGGTTACACAAAGCAGCTAGGGATGTCCCACCAGTGGAAGTGTTCAAAGTCAGGTTGGCCAGGGCTTTGAGTAACCTGACCTTGTGAAAGACATCCCAGCAGGGCAGGAGGGTTGGACTAGATGATCATTCAACATTCCTTCCAACCCAAACCGTTCTATGATTCGTGATTCTAGGACTCCTGTGCTGCGTAGCACAAATGCAAATATAGCACATACAAAAACTACAAGTGTACTTCCAAGATCTATGGCATATTCTTATAAAGAAAGGCAGTGTCTACACTGCAAAAGTAAGTCAGCTCTAGACCTCACTTAAGTGTACAAGTGTGATGCCGAATTTGCCCCAAAAGGCTAGATAGTAACTGCTCAGAGACCAAATTTTCAAGTCTGTAAGCAGGAGGTATTTATTAACAACGCGTTGGGGAACCCTCCAGGCCGCCCTGGACAAAGGGTTCCAACGATTAACAATAAATGCAGCCCTTTTATACAAGTTTGAGCATAGGTTACATCATCTTTACATGCATATTCATATATAGGTGGAGTATAGGTGGAGTCTTCTATTTTGGGGAGTCTTCTGATGGGAGTTCCTGTGTCTTCATCAGGGGCGGGGGGTCGTCTTGTGAGTCTTTCTCGGGTTAAACTTTGAACTTTTCCTAATTTGGGTAGTTTCCTGGTATACGTGGCATGGTCTCCGTGGCTTGGCGGAAGCTACTGGGTTGTATTGACATCATTGGTTTGATAAGTTACCTTGGTTGTTTGCTTTGTAATCCTGCTGACGGTCCTACTCGCAGTCGTCCTTGTGGTCTTTCCTGTTTATTACTTCCATGATTTCTTAATGTTAAGCCTTTTCATAGTGTTATCTCATTTTTGTGGTTTAGTGTTCTTTCCTGTTAGTGTGTTGATTCTAGGACTCCTGTGCTGCGTAGCACAAATGCAAATATAGCACATACAAAAACTACAAGTGTACTTCCAAGATCTATGGCATATTCTTATAAAGAAAGGCAGTGTCTACACTGCAAAAGTAAGTCAGCTCTAGAGCTCACTTAAGTGTACAAGTGAGAGCCTGGACTGATGCTGGGACAGTAATGTGCTCAGGCTCTGCTCTGTTAGAGGATCAGGAACTCGGTTTTAGCCAGTGTCTGTTCACATACAGACAGCACCCAAGGTAACTGTGAGGCTGGAGCACTTGAGAATGGTCTCAAATTTGTGTTAACCTTAGATGGACACGACTCTCAGGTATGTTCTCAGGTATGTTCTGCATGCTTCTCCACCCTTTTCAACACCTGCGAAAGCAAAAGCACCATAAAGCCACCAGTGGGGTAGGCTAAAGGAGTAAGCCATGAAATGTAAAGATTAAGTGATGTGCAAGAAGAGTGGTGAGATGAAGCAATAAATTCAGGTGCAAAGGATTGCACACAAAAGAGAATACAACACTCAAAACTTGGACAACAACCTCTCTTAAAGAATTGCTCAAAACTATGGTAAAAGAAGGCACCGAGTGGAGATCACAGAATCATAGAATATCTCAAGTTGGAAGGGACCCATAAGGATCACAAAGCTGAGCTAACTCCTCACCTAAAACGAAGCCGTACAACTAAGAGTGTTGTCCAGACGCTCCCTGAAGTGCCGTGATCACTTCCCTCTGGAGCCTGTTCCAGTGACTGACCACCCTCCCAGTAAAGAAACTTTTCCTAATGTCCAATGTGAACTTCCTCTGAAACGGCTGGAGAAGTGGGATGGAGAAGTGGGAGGCAGCCAAGCCAGAAAGCTTGCAAAGGAAAGACAAA